GGAAATTAAAACTCTATGTGTCCAATAGTTTTTAAGTCTTTAATAAAAATTAACATTTCAGCTTTATAGGCCTATATGAACAATCAAAGTGTAGATTCAAAGTAACTTTTAAAAGCCTTAATCAGTTGATGGTCCTAGGGTAGGGTTAAAAAAAAAAAAACGCCACTGAATTATCTGTTAACCCCCCCCCCCAAAAAAAAATAAAAAATTAAAAATCGTATAAATCCTTTATATGCATTAAAAATAAAAATATATATAAATATTCTAATGACCCACACGCGTTTACTTCGCAGATTTATTTCACCAACTCTTTCCAAAAAAAAAACAACAAAAACAAAAAACAATAGAAATATTAAGCACGAAACGCACTTGCGATAATTTTAAAAAAAAAAAAAGAATCCCATTTAGCGCTGTTATCGGCTATTTTATTTCGTGAAATCAGTGCCAGCATATCTCCTTCATCTCCTCCTAGAAAAAAACAACAGATTTTGGGGGTTGGAGTTGAGGAATGGGGCTGAAAATGTCAAAGAATGAGATCTCACCGTCAACGAGTCTAGATGCCAAGTTTCATTCCGCTCGATAGGTTGACAGGAAATGGATAAATTAGTCGTCCGAAGCTTTTGTCCTAAACACACAAAGGGGAAGTTAATGTAAAGGAATGGCGGCAAGAGGCGTTTTGAGACCCATCTCTGAGGAGGCGGCGACAACGTCTAAAAACGCTTCAATTTTCGAAGACATAGCAATAACAGAACATTTTGAAAACTATTAATTACTATTGTAGAAATTACAGTTCAAGCATTATGTGAAGTATAATTTCTTCTTTTTTTTTTTTTAAGGAGGGCGTTGACAATAATTCCAATGTGAAGGGAACAAAATTAAAGAATTCTGGCAGGGATTCTGAAGGAAAATCCACGAGCCTTTTATAATTTATATGCCATGTGTAGGTCAACGCCTAAACTTAGGGGTTGGTGACAGTGCCAAGAGTTGCCCTGAATCCACTTTTTTTCCAGCGCATATGTTTTCTTTTCTGCCTCTCCTGAATGATGGCATGTATTGAAAAAAAAAACAACAACAAAAACATGCTAACTCAAACAGCCTCACTTTAAAAACTTCACGCGAGACTAGATGGGAGTGCGGTATTGAATGTGCCAAATCCATAAAATATTAACTTAAAGACTTCGAGAAGCTCTTTATGAACTTGCAGTAATGTCTGCGTCTGATCTTGTAGTGTGACATCGAACAGAAACACTTGTATCAAAAATAGAAGATTATGTAATTTGTGTGATGATAATAAATGTCTGGTGTCATATCTTCTAGGGAAAAGTATACAAGACAAATCAAAATCCTTTATTGAATTAGAAGACGCATCTCTACAAGCAGGGCTGGAAGTTAACAACCAAAAAACAAAATACATGACCATGATAAGAGAGGAACAAACAGATGAAACAATTAAAATTAGAAACCACACTGTTGAAAAAGTAAATCAATTCAAATACCTAGGATCCTTGTTAAATGAAAGAAACGAATTACTAACAGAAATAAAATTAAAAAAAAAGAATATCAGCCGGAAACAGGGCATACTTCAGTAGTCAGAAAATACTCAAAAGTAAAAACATTACAAGAGAAATAAAGAAAACTATTTATAAAACTGTGATCAGATCAGTTGTAACATCTGCAAGTGAAACTTGGACCCTAACAAAAACAGCAGAAAACCTATTAAACACATGGGAGAGGAAAGTTCTCAGGAAAATATATGGGCCAACAAAGGATGAATATGGATGGAGAATACGAACCAACCAGGAATTATACATTTATACAAGCTATATCAGGATCCCACGATAGTGGCAGAAATAAAAAGAGTCAGGCTAGGCTGGGCAGGACACCTAGAGAGAATGCCAAATGACAGAGGAACGAAGAGGGTACATCACCAATACCCCAGAGGAAAAAGGCTCAAAGGCAGACCTAGGCTTAGGTGGATAGATGATGTAGAAAAAGTTCTACAGCAGCTGAAAGTCCAAGCATGGAAAAGAAAGGTATTAGTTAGGTCTGAGTGGAAGGAAGTGGTGAGCCCTACATGGGCTGTAGCGCCACATGGACGGATGGATGGATGTCATATCTTTTGGCAGGGAGAATGTCAGCACAGCTATGCAAGGAACCCGCTGTGAAACTATCTTACTATCTACCGCAGTTTCACTAATGAATACTGAAACTGATTATTTAATTGATTATCGTGAAAATGGATTTGGAAATGCGTTAGTCAACCAAAAAAAAAAAAAATGCTACATAATAATAATAAGATGTACAGCCAATTTTTTATAAGAAAAACGGCTTTGAATTGGCGATGTTCCAATTTTCTTTTTAAAATCACCTGTTCAATGTAATAGTGGACTGAGCTTTAAATTCTTTATCAGAGAGATTTTAACATTTGCAAAGTTTCAATAACACATGGGGATTTTTAAATGACCTAAAACAGCTGGCATACCGGGTACTTACACTGATGAACTGCTTAACAATTCTTTTTTAAAAAAATATTGCTCTATGTCAGGACCAAGTGAATGCCGACTTTTGACTTTGGGGGGGGGGGGGGGGAAGGGGGGGTGTTTTGATAAACGATTAATTAAGTTGACCTCCAAAGTTTGAGAAGTCTTAGACATGTCCCATTGCTGCCCCCGCAGGTTTTTTGGGATGAGCAGCCCAGTTGCCCCTCAGCTGCTTAACTAAACAGGTCCGTAACCAGAGACGGGCTTAATCATGTTTTCAACACTGGCAAGAGGAACTTGAAAGGGGCGCAATTTTTTACAAAAAAAACAACCTCTAGAACTTTTACAAGGAGCAGTTCCTGACCAGGTCCCTTTCCTGCTACAGCGGATAAACAAACTCAATCACGTCTTTGCATGTGGAATGTGGGCAACCGAAAACCATACCAACAAATCAACATTTTTTAAAGAACAAAACCAGCCTCTGAAAAACAAATTATGGTATTCATTACAGAAATTGTCACTGTACCCAATGCAAAAGTTCATTACTAAATAATATCAGGATGGACAACTGTTGAAATAAAGATCAAATATTTTATTCATTTAAATTTAACACATACAGCCTACTGGTACCTCTAAATTCAAAAAGTTATGTAGTTAAAAAGCAGTTAACGGTGTCTTTAATGTATAATTTTATTTTTTCTACTTTTGAGACTGCTAGGTGTCGTGATCTGACTTATGTAGTTATCTCTTGTATGAGATATCCTCTTGGCACTCTATCTAGGGGATTAATTTAATTAAGCCAAATTACCACCCAAACATAATAACCTATCTATATGCATATAGACTGAAATGAAATCTTTGTCAAAGGGGCAAATAACTGCAAGTATTCATTCACGATGGGTGTTTACAATAAATTCGCAGTTCACACTCCTTTGTTCGAGAATATATACAAAATGGAATTCAGCAAAATTTTGAATGTATGTTATATGATTATAAATGTGCCCCTAAAAATCAACTGATAGTATCATCATTCTAAATGCTGTATTTGCTCAAGGACCTTATGTTCAATCGATCTGGACTTGGCCTTATAAATTTACAGTTGATCTCCGCGGATCAATAAGTGTTGGAGTTTATTCCGTTCCAGAAGGGTGGCCTCCGTTCCGGTCTTCAGAGTTTTTCAAGACGGAGCGAAGTAGGCGTTCCCGGTCGTAGAAGGCGGCAACTTCTTGTTCCAAGAGTTTCTGTTTGATCTCTGTGATGGGGAAGTAGACTCTCCTGCGATAAATCCTGGGTGGTAAGAGTCCCTGAATCTCGAGGTCCTTATCCTAGCCGTATGTAGTTTGGTGTGAGACGTGAAAAACGATCCCATAGTTCCAGCATCAAGGTGCGTCGAGTCAGTAAAAATACAACCAGGCTAACTGTGAAATGATACAAAATAGATATGGAGTATCTAGGCGAATAGTCCTAAGCTGACATGTCCCATTCCAACAGCAACAAATTCTGATCAAGGTATTGAAGGTGACATAGCTTGTACACATACATCTAATGTGTGGATAGACTTATGTCTTTGTGTGGCTTAGCGACAATGGCGGACCAAGTAAGCATTTCAATTAAAGTATGAGACATTGAATCATTAACAACCATTAATTTTATAGGTACATAATATACATTTTGTCATCTTGTTAAAAGAGACATGATGAGATGCCTTTCCCATATGGCGGTGTGTCGCAGCCCGCAGCATAGGCATGCTTAAACACACTGACATAGAGTACATATTATAGAGCGATCACGATGGAATCCTTGCAACATAATTATAAGAACATAACAAGAGCATTAATAAAAGGTAATGGAATCATGGTTGCGTATTTACTAGTGTTCTAGGTTGCAGCTAATGATCATGATAATGAAGTCCTAAGTATAGTAGGCTACAGCGTTCACAATATAGTGAAAGGATCATAAAAAGACAGATTCTAATCTCCTCCTGCTATTTATTGAAGTTGGGGAACGATTTTCATTGGTTGGGTTAAAAGTTGTTTGTTTTCCCATCCAATAACATAAGTCTACTATTATGGGTTCGACCTTCCACCCAGAAAAATTAAAGGGGAGAGGGGGTGAATACAAAATGACAATTTTGCTTGAGCTGTTGCACGTCGGAATCCAATAATAACGAGGGAGATTACTGGGGGGGGGGGGGGGGGGGGGGTATTATTTTACAAGGGCGGGTTTGGGGGGGAAGAATTTTACGATGTCCAGTGTCAAATCATCACATTAGGGATACCTTCTGTACCCCAAGTTATGTTAGTAGCATTTCAATTAGGGGGGGGGGGGGGGGGGGGGGGGGGGTGTATTATTTTACAAGGGCGAGTTTAGGGTGGAAGAATTTTACGATGTCCAGTGTCAAATCATCACATTAGGGATACCTTCTGTAGCCCAAGTTATGTTAGTAGCATTTCAATTGCTGCCATGTTAGCTTAGAAACTTCAGTTACTAAGACAAACTAAAAAACCAAAGAACTTTTTACTTATTTCAGATACTTTATTGTAACTTTTTACCAAATAATATAGATCTGTTTTCTCCACAGCACATCAGTTGTAATTTATTTTCCATTTAGCATCAAATATTTGTTGTGGCATGAATTCTACAGTGGTTAACAACAATACCAATAGATAGTAATAACTATGGCTGTACTGTAACAGTGAACAGACAGGACCAATTATCTTCACATTTTAAACTAAATCAATGATTTTTAACTTTCTATTAGTTTTCACAAAGCAGCACAGTCAAGTTTATATATATGATCATAGGGGTCAATTATAATTTATTTTTGGAACTTTCAATCTCAAAGCAAGTTTGATTCCAAGGACTTGACTCCTATGCAGAGAGCGGAGATAACTTATTAAGTATCCGCAAAGCATGTTCTGGTGAACCTGTATTTCTTGTCAGGGGCCAATGAGTGGTTATTTGAGCTGCACCTACACAAACTAGCCAAATTTTTATGGCCTAAATTACCCTGTATGTATATTATTTAAAAAAATGCCTTTTTTAAATTAAACAACAAAATAATATTGATTTTTGAAGAAAAAAAAACATTTTAAAAAGATTATGAAAATTACTAATAAAATACTAATAATAAATTAATTGTTGTTTTTAATCAAAAACAATCTTTTTAAAAATTGGAAGCAGGGAATCCGATACTCATTTAACATCATAACTTTTAATAAAGCAAGAAAACTTAAAATATGAAAAACTATTTTGATCAATACTATTAGTAGTATTAGGAAATAATTGTTTTTATTTCAGCTCCTGATTTGAAATATTGAGTGCAGTGATAATAATACCAGTATTTATATTCAAGTAACTCAGAATGGAGAGATTTCTTAGTGAATTCATCCCTCTAGTTACATTATTTTATCTCAAGGTCTCTGGATATTATCCCTTGTTTAAATGGCCTAAACTTAAACCATGCATATATTTTATTTAATTGAAGATGAAAATAAGAAATACCTCCATGACAATATTTAGGTATAATAAGAACATACCAAAATGATAAATTAGGGGATTAATGTAGGAGAGGCACTTTGTGGAATGTTAGTCTACACACTATCAACCCTTTATTCAAGCTCTGAATTCGGCAACAACTTTTTTAGACCAACTTCTTTTCATTCAAGTATGGTAGTCAATACAGTTACCTAAAACATTTTCTTCATCAAAACAAAGTTTCATCCAGTTTTAAGGACAACATGACATAATTTCAAGCAAATGTTTCAGCTCAATTTGTCACAGGCATCATCACCTTCTATCTTTACAGACAACTCTTGAAAAAGGTCGGGGGTCCCCATTATCACTGTCCATCACATTTACCAACAAACCAAGTTTTAAAAATGGTCTCAAAACACACACTTGGCCAGATAAATCAATCAAAACGGTAATAGAATTATCACAATGTAATTATCATACACCCAAATGTGAATCTCTGTTGGCCAACACATTGGTTTGTGGAATATCTTTAGCTTCTTCTGTTGCACCATCTTCTTCTTTTTCCTCCTCTTCCTCCTCTTCTGAGCAACTGTCTTCCGATTCACTCTCAATCTGGGTGACCTGGACCCTGTTCATGTTGTGGACGAGATCAGATATGTCATCATCACTCCCTTCGTCTCCACTTGGTGGAAGCAAGTCTTGGGGCAAAGTTTCAATGAGGTGCTGTGTCACTTTGGAGCTGAAACCTTTAGGCCTAGCATTAAAGGACAAAGACTTCAATTACTACACAGCTTTACTGTATTAACAAAAAGCATTTCACAACCAATGACTGCCCCTACTCCTTTTATACAAAATAACAAGACTTAGTGTATGGAGAAGTCAAAAACAAAATTCATATTCTGCTATTTAAATAATGCTTTTCTTTTCAAAAGATGATACTTATAAATAAGTGGTATGTAGACTTTAAAAATAAAATATCAAAGTGAAATCATAAATCTTATGACAGAGACAAAGGTACTCAAATGATATCGTGGATAATAGCCTATTATAATAATTATCTATGAACTTAGATGAACTCAGTAACGGCTATTTGAAAATTGCATATCGATACAATAGAGATACCACTTCTGTTTGATTTGACTGAATAATTGACATCAGTAAACCACTTGAACTTAAATATACATGGCATAAATTATCTTTTTTGTCTGTATGGTTCTGATACTTAAAAAAAAGAAGGAAGATGCACTTAATTTTTTCCCCCTAAAAACAAATTGAATGATTGCATTCAAGTCTATGTCTTACCATAAGTTATGTTGTTGTATATTTTTAATCTGATCTTTGAAGAGGATGTGAGTTATTTCTCCTTTGACCTTATCACCTTCATCTATGGATTCAATCATAATGAAGTCACCTAGTTAAATAGAGAAAGATTAAAATTAGGCAACTTGGCAAATTAACTCTTTACGGTACTCATACTCTCTTCATCACAGCAACCATGAATATACGGAATTTAACCTTTGCACAAAAAGCAATCAATATTTCTTTTATCCCAACCTTGAATACATGTTAAATGAACATTATTTTTGCACCTGTAAATTTTTGTTTATATTTGTAAATATTAAAGCCGTAATTAAGGAAATTTTCAAATCTTAAACAGAATATAAAAAAAAAAAGCTGTATTTATTTAAAAAAACAAAACTTTTTACTCAGATGTAATGAGTAATGGCAAATGATTTAACACTCAGGTCATTTAGGTGTCAAAGCAAATTTTCCAAATCCTGCATTTTGTATTGAATAACAAAGACTATTGCACTAGCCTCATCCATGATTATCTAATGCCCTTAACTCATGCATGATTATCTAAGGCACTGACCTCGTTTTATCCACACATGTTTTCTAAACTTTGTTGGCATGCTGACCAGAAAAGACTCTCCATCAGCTGTAACAACTTCATGAAGGTTATTCCCCTTTGCAGCAGTAACCTAAAGAGTTAAAAAAAATTTGTGACAAATTATACAATATGTATATTATTTTTTGAAGCATACTCAAGTTCTAAAAAGAACAATATGGTTAATGAATTTATTGTTAGAGCAACATATTTCTTAACTACAAATATTGTTATTTGCATGGAAAGCCCTCTAAAATATAGTAGTTAAAAGTTAACTAAATATTTGTGGGTGAAGCATATAAACAGAGATAACAGACTTGTATCATAAATAAAATAAATATAACAGGATTTGAAATGATATCCTTCATGAAAATTAAATCTCCCTTATCACATCATTTTCAAATATTTAATTATATATAATTGTTTTTAAAAAAGAATAATAGGCCTATGTTCATTTATTTACATCCCACTAGATCAGGGCAGAATATACAACATGTTACTTGTAAATAAAATGTTAATAAGACTTAAATAATATTAAATAAAATATAACCATATTATAGTAGAGACTTAGGCTTAGGCCTACTCTGAATTGCAAAAGACCATTTCATTCCTGAAATCTAGATTAAAATCCACAATGCTTTAAACTTCAAGCCTCAATCAAATTGAGTAAAACTTCTGGACTGTTTATTAGGGAGTTATTATTTTAGAGTTAGAGTACTAATATTTCTATTACCTTCACAATTTGTCTTTTTCCTTCAGGTAAAGGATAATCCTCCAACACTTCTTTTGTCACATGTTTTTTCTTAGTTGTTGCTGACATTATAATCATGAATTTTTCAAACTTTTTTGTTCTGAAATATAAGGTAATATTTGAATTATAATAAATAAGTATAAGTATAAGTATAAGCTCAAACTAATTCACTGGATTGAAAATGAACAACTGAAGCATTTCAGGCTAAATAAGCCTGAGCCTACTAAGAAAGGCATAGGCATTATCATTAGTATTAGTACTATTAGTCTCATACTCATTTGGATAGCCCAGATAGTGGCAGAAAGACATAGGCCGATCATAATCATAGGCTAGATACTTCGATGAAAGAAGGGAGACTACTATTTTTTTTGTATTGGAAATGGGCGTCGGCGCCGAAAAATCCGAGTTTTTAATTTTCCGATGTGTGTGTCTATTTATTATTAAATTAGTTCTTTCCACATATATTTGAGTTCCGTTTCCGGCCATATAATTTGGAAGACATCTTGGCCTACATTTCTAGCCAGCTATTTTGCTTTTTTCAATCGACCTTTATTTTGAAAATCTTTGGTATATATAAGGCATCTTCGCATACAAATTTTTTTGTGAAATAATAAGATAAGGTCCTTTTTTATTAAATCTGTATGAGCATTAGATATTGATCTATATCTGTGCCAAGTTTCATTGATGTAGGTCGTGTCCCACGTTTGTTACACTTGTCACAGTGACCCATATCACCATTAGGTGGCTCAGCCTAATTTCGACATGGCTTGGGCCACGCCCCCTTTTTAATGGCGGAAGTTGCCGATACTTAGGAAATATTTAATTATTACCACTATATACATCAAAATATTTTATATTTTGTGTTTCAGAATGCATTTTGAAGACATTTAAACTGGAAATGTTTTAATTTGAGCTTTAAAAACCCTGCAGAGTCCATAATATAAATGATCAGAATTTTCCCTGTGCAACACGTTGTCATTGGCAACCATTCACAGCCACTTGCATAACGGCTACGTCGTAGTACTATCTCAGAGTTTCATTCATAAGAGTTTGCCGTGTGCAAAAGCTATTAAACCATTGGTCAGGGAAAGCTTTTATTAATTATTCATGTGCCAAAGTTGAAAGTTTAAAATAAGTCGACCCTAAACAGTATTTTAGTGATAAGGGAATGCATTGCCTTATATAAACTATATAGTCATTGCGCATGACGCGATCAGTGGAATGAGGTCACAGAATGTGGAGATGCAGTCTATGTTAAAAAATGACAAACCAAGTCGTACTTTAAAAATTCATAACTTTAAAACTACAACAGCTAAAAATATGATTTTGGTGTTATAATTATGTTTAAAATTAGCTCTATTCAACTGTGCCATTGGTTTATTTTAAAAAAAATGTTTACATTTTTGACCAAAGTATCTACATAGGCTATCATAGGCTAGGCATATGAAATATGAAATCATATGAATATTATGAATGAATATAACTGAATAATTACTATTTTATCTGCCTAATAGTAGTAATATAAAGATTCAACTCAATAATTCACGCCGACATGTCATAACTATACCTAAATTATATTGTTATATTATAAAATGGGCCAAGACCCAAGACCAAGCAAGCCCAAGGCAAGTCACAACTCAGTATAAGAAATTATTACTATGTCATTAATGTGGACATCTTACTTTGACACCAAATTAGACCAGTCCACTTCAAATGAAAAATATTATTAATATAAAAAAGGCAAAATTAGGAGGCATTTTATTACTCCAATCATTGATCATTGTCAATAAGTCATGTTGTTATCTTTACTTTATATTATTTCACCACACATTGAAATTTATTAGGCCCTATGCCCTATAGCCTATAGTTAGCCTTCTAATAAATGTTCTAATTCTAAACCTAGCTGAAGTACATCGTGTAATACAACCTACAATGACTCATTGCTACATTGGTTAACCAAGTTGTCAATTTGTACATTATTGACATTAGTATTATTAATAGTATTATTAGATTGCTGATTGCAATTTAATCAATTTGGCTTTGCACTAGAACTAGAAGTGGGTTGAAATTATCATTAAAATTAACTTTTGCTTATAACTTATGGATTATAACCATTTCAGTTTTAGATTACTAAGACTTACTCAAAGTACTTTCATAACTTAACACGTTAATAATGGACTTAATGTATATTATATAGTCTATAGCTTACAAATCCAGCTGAATTTAATTCCAATTTTAAACAAACCAGCATTGTTACTAAGTATGGATATGGACCCAACTAGAATTTATTTAATGCCTGATTTTGTGCAAGTACTGGGCAAATTCATTTATTTAATGATTTATTTTATTATTTAAATTTAACACATACACAGTGAATGTTCTTTAATGTCATGCGTCATTTAATCTTTTAGTAAATCATTTATCAACCGATTTATTTAATATAATAAAACTATTTTTGTGTTATATGTACAATCTTTAAACAAATCTAATTTATTCGTAAGTTTCATTGTACCATAGAAGTCATACATTCATAATCATTATGAGTTGGCTAGGAGAAGGGACGGAGGAGGGTTGTACTTCATTTTAATAAAATAGTATAAGAATAATTATTTTTTTTTAAATAGCAAAATTTTTTTAAAAAATTGGCATGTCTACAAAATATTAGAAGAGTGCGACAGGGGCGTCATTTTAGGGATTTTTTTTTTGGGGGGGGGTGGGCAGAACCAAAACTTTGTCAGCTTGTTAAGTTAGTACTGAAGGCGCTACAGTACATAAATAAAACCTGCAACTTTGGGGGAGGGGGCAAATGATTCTTTTTTTTTTGGCTCCTCATTTTTTTATTCAGATATTTTGTTTAGGCCAACTGGGTTTTGGAAGTCCAGTTTTTCGAATAATGCCATGAGGTTGCTGGGTAGGCTATGTAATATTTAAGAGAAAGAAATACCAACACAAAAACCCTATAATGTTATTTTAAGGACTCGGGCACTTAAGCTGCCTTGTTGAATAAGAACGAGCTACATTTAACTACGTAACTACTTAATCAATTCGAATTCAGAAATCTACACATTTCTGGGGCCGTGCATCACACATCAACACGAGCCAAGACGTACCCCCAAGCACACTTTCTAAGGCTTCCATTGTAAATGTAATTTTATGATACTTCCTAGTAACTAATGCATTGAATTGAGGAGCAGGGTCGAATAAGTGTTACGAAAATTATTTAACATTTAGAAAATTGAAACGTGTGAATGGCTCCGATATTTATTTTTAAAAAATTGCAAATTCTATCAATATACAAACAGGCAATTAAGCTAAGGGATTTCATTAAAAAGCTTTTTATTTATAAAATAAAAGCAGTAGCTTAATACGAAATTAAACCTAAAACATTTAGCCTTCAAAACTATTGTTGAAATAATTATTATTATAATAAATAAATTATTTTTTAAAAATATATTTTAGAAATTCTGAAAGATTTTTTTTGCTTGGCGTAAATGTTTTTTGTTTTGGTCTCAGACTCTTCTGCTAGCATGTTTTAATTTTTAATCGCCAATCAACTCACCTCAATTTCCGGTTATCGACACCTTAATCGCAATTTTTTTCGACGTTCATATGCAATATCTATGGTAATAACTATGAGGTCTAAAAAGATTTTTCGCAAATCATCCTTTAAACTTATGCGTTAAGAGCGTTTTATAACATTTAGACTGGGTAAGTTTTGTTTCGAAAGCCCATTTGTTGTCCATGTTCCCAAGTCAATAGTAAAAGAACAACAATCAAGTTAAGTCTAAGTTTAGTTTAGTTTAGGTAATAATGAAAGTGTCAACTCATTCTGGAGTGCATACTGAATGATTCTGAATTTTTTGTAAATTCAATCACAATTGTCTTAAAGTTTAATGCATTCTAATTTTGATTCTTGGTGTACCTTAGACTGATGAACAGTGTTGAGTTTACAGTTACATAGGATGTGTTCGGTTCGGTGTTGGTTAGTGATTAGACCATTTTTTTTCTGTTGTTTTGTTTGCTGATGAAGGCTTTCTGCCGACACGGTCGCTGTTTTGTTGCGTTTATTTTTTCAGGTTTAACCCTACTCTGTTTTACTCATTTTATTTTGTTAGTGATTAGCCTAGTCCTAGTCAACAGTAACACTAAGTAACAGTGAAAGTGAGGGACTAGTGTTTTTTTTTGTTAGGCTAGAATTATATATTTTGTATGGCCATGGCCTAGTCATAATTATCATCAATGATAGGCTTATTCATCATGTCTTGGCTAATAAAATAAACAGGCACTACATAAACCGATGCTGTGTACCTAGCAAAACCATTGGCTTTGGCCTGCATACACCGCAGCGGTACATGTAGTAAAACAATGGTCTTTGTCAGTCTTTATATTGAACTCTTTGGCATGAATGGTACTTATAAAATTAATTTTATACTCATCTTAAGTTTAAAAAAATTTTTTTTTTTATTTTAAATTCATTTAAATTTAATATCTGCAAGATTAAACAAAAGTAGTACTTGTATTTTTATTTTGCGCAGAGCTGGAGTCTTGCAGGAACGCATGGGAATGACAATCATGTAACTGTAATATGTTTTTCTGTTAAATAAAAATATTTTTGTTATTATTTTGGGGGTTGTGAGGGAGATAATGGTTAAGTCTAAGTTCCTTTACATTTGTAGCAAGGCAGCAAGGTACTTGTAAGGAACATTTCTTAGTATTTTTCTGGTTGAATCATAATTAGGTACACCGCTAGGGTGTATGCATGCCTAGATCCATAGTTTTGCTAGGTACATATATATGTATCCTGCCTAAAATTGAAAGAAAAGAATAAGAATGAAGACAAGTCCCTGACAAGAACAAAGCTCATAAGAATGGAAAGGAAGTGGGTAAAATTAAAAACGAAATGGGGGAAAAACATGGCAGCCACGTAAAATTGTGAATTTGGTTTGTCAGCCATGTATGGTGTATGGATAAAACACCAATCTCAAATTGTTGTGAAGATATGGTTTTAAAGTTCTTTATGCAAAATAAAATAAAAAAATAGCTGCTGTAGCTTTGTTAACTTTTATTTTTATTGCTGAAAACAGTTGTTAAATATTCGTGTTTATGTTTTTTAAAACAAAGGTCCCTTCTTTACCTTAGATTAGTACGGCCAGTAGGGCTATGTCTAGGGTATGATTAATATTTACTAATTAAGTACTGTAAATTGAGCTCACTCCACACTCACTCTAACATTCAATGACACTCTCACTAGCTCTCACTTCCATTAATACTATAATTATACTAATAAAACAAAGGTGGTTCAGCCCACAAATAAATATTTAATTATAAAAAAAAATTATCTACATACACATTACATATAATATACACATATAAAGGATAACGAGATATACTGCCCAATATTATTAATTATTATGTTTCGATTGGCGATCTTGTCCACTAGGTAGGTCCAACACACATACACACACAGCTGCCTTGTGGCTTGGCCTCCCTTTTGCTTTGGTCACTAGTTAAGGCGCACTGCGGTTGTCTCAGTGGCGTAACTGGTCTCAGGTCACTCCCGTCTCTGTTTATCTAATAGGCCTAATGACTCAACTGTACCGAGTGGTTTATACTCTGCGGTATACTATACCGACTGTACTAAGTTCTACTGTACTGAACTGTACTCAACTCAACTGTACTGACTCTAAATTAGCTCACTATAATGAGACTAAAGTCCAATGTACTAATGGTACTAGCTCAAGCTAACTCAAATTGTACTGGTACTAACTCAGACTAGACTGTTACTAACTGAACTATTACTTACTAGTTCAACTATTACTTACTGGCTAGAAATGAGAATAACAAATACAACGCATAAGACATAGGTAAACAATTAAAATCACATCACATTATTAATAATCAATCATACTCTAACAGTAACTATAGTCCTAACATTTTCTTAATAAAACTACAACTACAATTCTACATATCGGTATACATGAATGTGAATGTTAACAATACTAACCCAACACAATCAGGATAAACAAACTTCATCAACTAATTATGCCAGCCAGGCTCTACTGACAGACTTTAGGTGAAAGAGGACGATAAATGATTATGGCCCTTAATATATATACTCTACGTTTGGCGTCCTGTCCCGCATTCAAGCGTCGCATTCAGCGTCGCGTCTGACGATCTGACCAGACGGTGGTCATGGTCAAGGTGACCAGGTTAATTTCTATTGTTCCTTGAGTCATTGTTATTAGTGTAAGGCCCAGCCTAATTGCGTAATGTCACAAGGGGTAGCGATGGAGAGAGTGTGAGCCAGCGGGTCTCACTAAGGTGAGCCCAGCAGGTCTCAACAACAGTATGATATGACAATTAGGTACTATTGAAATTTCTTCCATGTGCAAAATGATTAAATTCATGGTTAAATTAACTTACTTATATCAATTTTATAAAAATAAGGTTTTTAGAACTCAGATAATAACATTACTAATAAATGTAAAATAGCAGATGTATTATAATGTATGAATTTTTAAATAATACTTTTATAATCCCCAATGGCTGAAACCAGATTTGAACAAGCTACAAGTTAGGTAAAGATGACTTCTAAGTAAATTTGGAGTTTGCAGAACCAATGATTTCATTTGAGTATCTCATTCCTCAAATTATTAGAAGATTTCTCCACTGCTATGGAGGTTACAGGCATTGTGCCAGAATTTGATCAGAAAGCAGTCCTTCAGGTACACTTAGTTTTCATTTTAGTGTTAGAATTTTGTTTTTTCTTAATCATAAAACAAAAGAGTTATTATTCCAAACTTGTTAATGCTGTTAAAATTTTAAAGAGAGTGCATTTAAGGTTAGGGCTGAAAGAAAATCTATTTCTATTAAAATGAGAATGAATGTGTGTGTTGTGACAGGACAAAAAGGATGTGCTAAACTTTGATGTAAAAGCTATTGTTTCTTTAAAATATTTTTATTGAGGTATAAAATAGCTGTTAATAGATTACTTTAAAAAATATTAGTTTGTATTTTTACAGCGATGGAAAGACAACTTCCATGTTAGCAGGGATGCATTTGAACAAGCAGTTTTCAACCATTTTAACGAGTTTGTACCATATGTTTATGGGTTGAATTTGGACAATGAAAAGGAAGAACGCAAAGCACAAAAGTTTCTGTTCCATCCTCTGGAGGAATTCCTGTGCCAAGGGGATCCAGCCCATGTATTCCAAACTCTTAACTATTCTGATGAGCCATCACAGTTGTGTGGACACAATTTCAAGAATGGAGA